AAAAAAAAAAAAAAGCCAATTTCAATTAAGTCATTGATGAGAGGCAGAAACATGACTCATTTTATTAAATTCCAGCCCTTGCATAAACATCTTTCTAGTATTCAGTGTGACAAAATGGAAGTAATTATAAAGCACCGCTGCTGCATACCAAAAGACAAAAGCAGTCTTTGGAAAAACGCGTGTATGATTTTGTTTTGGAGACGTGAGTTGAACCAGTTGCTTTGCTCATAGAACGCCATTTTTAATTTACAGAATGGCTGGAACAACTGATAAACAAACTATGACCATTCAGACAGACGTTTTCTGGAAAAAAAAGAAAGAAAGAAAGAACAAAATGAGCCTTTCCTTAAGAGAGCAACTGACAATATTTATCACCAATGATAACACTGGAACTTAGAAGAGAAAATTAGAAATTGAAAAACTCATATCCTGTACTGTGGGTCTGATATCTTCCCAAATCATATACTTAAAAAAAGAAAAAAAGATGGGTGATAATATTAATAGGTGTGATTTTTCGTGTGAAATCGTGAATGTTTTGAAGATAGGAACCACATTTCAAATATCAAACTGACAGGATATGCATGTAGGAGCTCTGGTAGCTCTGGTAGTGGTTACAAATCGGGCTGCGAACCTTAAGGTCAGCAGTTTGAAACTACCAGCTAGTCTGTGGGAGAACGATGAGGCTTTCTGCTCCCGTAAAGATTTACAGCCTAGGAAACGCTGTACAGCGTCGCTATGAGTCAGAACCTCCTCCACGGCACATAACCACCACCACCACCATGACTGATAAAGTTAATGAATAGGTGGATTTAATATGGTTTAAACATGAAGCTAACCACCTGTTTGTCAGTTTGTCATATGGTGTGATTTATGTATTGCTAGAAACTATGTCACCAGTATTTCAAAAACAAGCAGATTTGCCCACGGTGGATAGGTCTCAGCAGAGCTTCCAGACTAACACACCCTAAAAATACAGACCTAGCAATGTACTTCTGAAAGTTAGCCAAGAAAAATGCTATGGATCCCAACAGAACACTGATTGCTTGCTTTGAACACAATTTCAAGGCAGAGACATCATGTTGGGAAGTAGAGGGTGAAGAAGACTCTCCAAGAGATGGACTGGCACAGTGATGGACTTGAGCCTGCCAGTGGTAATGAGGATGACACAGGACCGTCTCAGTCTGTTGTATATAAATTCCCATAAGTCAGAGCTGACTAGATGGCATATCTATCTATCTATCTATCTATCTATCTATCTATCTATCTATCTATCTATCTATCTATCTATCTATCTATCATCGTTTACCTATCAATTGTAACACAGAATGCTTGAAATAATGGCTGGAATTAAATGGCCATTCCAAAAACAATATAAAAGCTTAGCACCCTCCTTCCCTCCTGTCTTGGTATTACATAGTTACTTGAGCACCATAGTCTACCTGCTTCACTGTGTGTGATTTATTTACAAACTCTTTCCCAAAGACCCCAAAGAACTATCACAACCCTGTTCTATCAGTCATCACAGTAACTTTTAATCAACACAGCTCACTGTTTATAGGCCAGGTCATGATGCAAATAATTAAATAGGCCATGTATATGCGATTTTACTATCATATATATCGAGGTTTAGCATTGCATTCTTTAAAATCACTTTTCCCTGAACATATAAAGCATTAAAAAAATTCCTTTATCTTAAGTATCATACCTCCCAAACAGATAGGAATATAGGAAGTTATCACTCTCTCTCTAAAAAAAAAAAAAAGACAAAAAAATAATCATTAAGTCATTCAAGGTTATACAGTCAACAACTCATCCAGAAAGAAAAGCCAGTTGACCTGATCCCTTGGGTTGTTTCTCAAACTACATGTGCGGACACATTGATTCAACACTCAGATTTCCCATCAATAAACAGCATTCTGGGAGTGATGTCAGCAGACAGCCCAAACCCTTAGGGACTATCTCAGGCTACAAAAGCCATCTCAACCAAGGTCATGCCCAGTATGTGACTTTTTTTTTTTTTTTTGGAAGGAAGGTAAGGGTGATAGGGTATGTATATCTAATAGTGGATTAATAAGGGAGTATTCTGAAGTCCTGGTATGATGCTGTGGGTTAATGCACTGGACTGCAAAGTTGGTTTGAACCTCAAGGTTGGTGATTCAAGCTCACCAGAGTTCCTCGAAAACCCTAAACAGGGTTGCTATGGATCGGAATCAAGCACTTAGCAATAACAACATTCTGGAGTCCTGGTGTGGTGATAAAGGATAATGCACTGGATGCAAGGTCCGTTTGAACTGCAAGGTTGTAGGTTCAAACTCACCAACCGCTTAATGGTATTTAACAACAAGCAGCAATAATTCCGGCCCAGTGTTTATCCTACAGTGCCACACCAGGACTCCATGATCAGCACTGGCACCGAGAAACAAGCTAAAACTCCTTTCTGCCCTCTCCTGGATTGAAAATGAAAAAGCTTTAACTTATTTCTACTAAAACATTCCTGCCAATGGATGGATATTCTCTTTATTCCTAACTGTTTTGTACGTACCTGGTTAAAAAGAGAGAACTTTAGCAGCTGAGAGGATACTGCAGAGGTTCATTTTCTAGGTTCTAGGAAGTTAGACACAAAGTCCCTCAGGTCACACTGTTCTGAAAACATATCCCTTTTCACATCCACGTTTGCATTTAGCACGCCTGAAGTCTACATTTTACAAGTGATTTGGTGACACCAACTGGAGCCTTCTTCAGCATTATACAAACCCAAATATCCTCCTGGAGAAGTTTCCTGGGCTAAGTTAAAGTGAAAACCAGTTGACATCTGATATCATGGGAAACGGGTTGCTATGTAACGAAAAAAATAGATTTGACCACAGGCTGGGATGGAAAATGATCATCACCAAAAAAAAATTTAAAAATCAACTGTATACTTTGGCTCTGGGCATTAGATCCAACAAGCAATACCATTGAACTGATCCATTGCTCCTTTGTGTAATTATAGGATGGTAAGATAAAGGGAAGGAGCTCTGGTAGTGTAGTGGTTACGAATTGGGCTGCAAACCACAAGGTCAGCAGTTCGAAACTACCAGCTGTTCTGCGGGAGAAAGATGAGGCTTTCTGCTCCCGTACAGATTTATAGCCTTGGAAACCCTGTATGGGGTCTATGAGTTGGAACCGACTCCACGGCACATAATAATAACAACAAAGATAAAGGGATTCTGGCTGTTTAGTCATTAGTTAAATTACCCAACGTTATGAATGGAAACAAGAAAATGTACAAACACTATTGAGCTTGTTAGCAGTATAGAAAAGAAGGGACAGAGGAATAGCTTTTTCCCACTGGGTGGTTCTCTTCTTGCTGTTAAGTGCCATTAAGGTGATTGACTCGTAGGGACCCTGTATAGGGTTTCCAAGGAGTTGCTGGTGGGTTTCAACCGCCAACCTTTTGATTCGTAGTCCAGTGTTTATCCCACAGTGCCATGCCAGGACTCCCTCGAGTCCTTAGGAGCCTTTAAGAACTCAGTTTCTGCCAGCCAGACTTTCCAGCAAAACTCAAACAAACAGACAAGCAGCTTTCCACAGCCACACCAGCTTGAAAGCTACAGGTTGTCAAGTTACAGAAGGAGTGTTTACTAGGCAGTATGTTGAATGCTCCCTCTATGGTGTTTCATTCAGTCCTCTTGATGACACTTTCAAGTAAGCATTACTGTTCCCATTTTACAGATGTGGAAATCAAAGTAAGTAGCAGTTGGATAAATTCTTCATGGTCATCATAGCTGAGCTGGCATCCAAATCTAGTTGACAGCAAACTCGTTTCGCCATCCCACACTGCCTGCTTCCCAGCATGAAATAGTCTCTCCTGGGAGAAGAAACCCTTGACTATCCTGCTGGCCCTTTAAAACTGCCACATAAAGCACTACAGGAAGAAGTAAGAGGAAGCTTGTTTTTCTATCCACACTGAAATGAATTTTATTTTGGAGCAAAATGATTTCTAAAGCAGATAAAAATTGATTTTAGTCATCCCTTGGGAATGAAGTCTATGAGGAAAATAGTTAAAGTGTCATAGGAACGGCATGATCATAAAGAACTAAATTTTGAGTATCTACAGCTTTGGTGTGTGCGTGTGTTGTGGTCTTAACTCTTAGACATCTCTTAAAGAACATTTCCTCAAGGAATTTAATCACAATCGTAATCTTCACATGCCTTCAGGCCTCCCAGGCAAACAACCCCCT